GTCCTTCATTCCAATGAGAAAACATTCACTTTAATTTTTACTTGCCATAGAGGAAATGGCAACGTGATGCAGGTCTTGACAGGTAGCGTGGGAGGCCAGACAGCAGTACTGAGTTAGACCCTATGCCACAGGTGTACCTACTGCCAGCTCTGGCAAGACGACAAGAGGCTTGCATAAAAGCATCACTGTTACCCCTTCCCATTCCTCACACAGAGCTACACTGCTGGGTAAGAAACCTAGGACTGTCTCCACCACTGTTTCATGAAAGCGTGTGTAAGAGTAGTTGGCGACTGCCTCATCCAAAAATCTGACAGCAAACACACTCGTGTCTGCACTAGAATTGTAAAACTTGTATACACCAATACACAACAGACCAAAACTGTATCACAGTTAGTATTCTGCTAGAGCAATAGAAGAAATATGTCTCTTAACAGGGCATGAAATATACTGAAGATGATGAGTACAGCATACTAGCTTGATCAGCTTTATATCCAGTATCGTTCAAAGGGAAGCATTCCTTCTCCCTACAATGGCACAGCAATGAATACGTGAGGGAAGATCAAGCCAAACCATTTCAAATCATCATGCTGATGCCTTTCCAGGCCTGTTAGTTCTTGCTATGCTTTGCAGTAGTGATAGCAGGAATCTCAGACTGACAGGGCAAAAGTTTCTCCTGAGTAGCATGTTCCCACATTCACAACCAAAGTAAACCACATACAAGCAAATTTTATTCTTTTTAATTTTATTTTACTTGCACTCCCTGCAGGGCAGAAGAATGCAAGCTGCCAGCTTACTAGTAAGAGGAAGCTTCCACCACGCCAGTATCTGGAAGTCCGGCCTGCTCGTCTGTGTTGGTATACAGTTGCCAATCATCTGATTTTGCTAGAGCAGTCACAACCACCTACCTTTGCGACCATTCTCGAAGCAAAAGACTGTTTGTCCAAGGGGTGCCACATTATGTAGGCAGAGCTATACAAAGTATGTAGGCATAGCCACAGAGAAGAGAATCTTTTGCTATGCATGCTAGGATATCAACAAGTCTCTCAGGGAAGCATGGGAATGTTGAAATAGTTGTGACATTGTCAACCTAGGTTTTTGGGCTATAGCACCTCTCGTCCCTTGTCCACAAGTCGGACCGTCTCTTGTTCTAGGACGAAGACTGAGGTGGGGGAGAACCTCTATGACAGAGAAGGTTTGTTTGTTTGGGTAGGTTTTTCTGAAGAACCAAATGTTCATGGGAGTTAAGGCAGCTCTAGACCTTTAAAAATCCAGACTTAAGTATGATTACAAAAGTAAACCACATGTAGCAAGACAGATGCATCCAAGTACCTAAAGCATATTCAAAAGTAGGGCTTGATAATTTAAAAAATAATATCGTATGTCCCACATCAAAGACGACCCACTTCCCTGTACTATCTCAAACCCAGTAAGTGGATAGTAAACTGAACATATGCATTTGGTTGCACATGTAGTAGAATGTTTAGAGCTATTTTGACCTGAGGATTCTCTGGACATCTGTACCATTCACCTAAACTTGAAGTACAAGATAGAGAATAGGGAGAAGTAAAAACCAAAACAAAATACACACAACAACAAAAAAAAAAATCCTGCCTAGAAAGTGCATGGTATACGATACAAAAAAAAAAAATAAAAAAAGAAAAAGAAAAAACCTTTGCCCTGACGGTAGTACTTCAAACTTCTGATTCTCACCTCATCCGTATAAGCAACTATCAGAGTATTAACATTTTCCTTAATATTGACCAACTTAATAGCATCAAGCAGGATATACAAGATTCTCAAAAATGGTTAGCAGTTTTGCCACTGAGATCTTGTTAGTCTAATTGGGCTGGACACAGGGGATCTCTGCAAATAGGCTCTCCTACCTTCTTCTACTTGATTTAGCGTTATTTCCGGTTTTATATTCTTCTCCCTGTCCAAGCTCTTTTCTGTGGCTGTGATCCAAACCCTAACGCTGGAAGCACTAGAGCACTTAGCTCCTCCCACGGCTCTCCTACACGGAGACAAGGCCATGAATAACCTCAACCTGTCAAAACAGGTCCCCGAGTCGTACTGTAGCGAGAGCACAAGCCAACAGCTTTTGAAGGCAACGGAAATCTCTCTCTAAACATTGCAGGGATTTACACTAGCCCTCAAATCCAAACAATGTTAAGAAAGAATTAAGGCTAGAAAACTTTGGCACCCTGATTACTAAGTTACATGAACAACACAGTAAAGAGCTGACATCACGGAGGCAATTAAAAAAGCTCATTTAGGAGGCTACAGTGTAGAACGGCAGCTGTGTGAATGACTGACAGCAGATGCCTCTGTCGCTTTAAGACTTTCATACTGTATCAACTGCTGCCTTCATACTGAGTCAGAACCACTGGTATGTCCAAGTTAGCTGAGCCTTGAAGGATCCTGTTATTAGCAGATTATTAATAAGCAACAACTCCTTACTCCAGCTTTTGTCTAGGTTGGTTCTAAACTACGCCTCCTGATCACTTTACGCAACTATTACGAAGTATCTACAGCACATCCTATCCTTGTCTAGTTAGGGGGAATTGTGGCCTACAAAAAGCCCAGCACTCTTCCTTAAAAGAAAAACTGCTAATTATTTTTGCCTTTTGAGAACAAAATGGTATTGATGTGATCAACAAAACAGGTGAACACAAAGGCAGCCAGGCTTTTGTGCTTCAGATACATGCAGTATTAGAATACAATACAGAAGGGCAAGAAGGAATTAACAGGCTCATTTTGGTCCACTGCATCTTTGAGAGATAATACCCGACACTTCTACACCTGCCACCCTCCCAGATCATCTAATCATCATGACGACAACATAGACAACAGTGGAATCAGGGTGCTCATTCCGAGCTCTCAGCTTGGAAACAGAAGGGAAAAACCCTTTCACAAACTTCCTGCAACTGTAGGTCCCTTTGGAAACTCCTCTGAAAAGGGTCCAGGGCCTTCAAGTTAATTCAACTCAGA